TTGATGTTTACTTCGAACTGTCAGGCAGTAGGGCAACCCCGGATAGTCCGTAATCTAAGAGGGCTTATCACCACCCATCGCCCCTCAATTGTCTTTCCTATGGAGACTAAAAACAAGTCTGATAAGTTGGAGCGGTTGAGAAGAAATTTAAACTTTTCTTGTTTCGAGTACGTGGATCCTATGGGCCTTTCTGGCGGACTTGCATTATGGTGGAAGGAAGAAACCAACCTGCTGATTCTGGATAAATCCAAAAATCTGATCAATGTAAGAGGTAGACTTAACCATTAGCAGGATTATTGGCATTGTACCTTTGTCTATGCAGACTCGTTGGCTGAAAGAAGGAAGAAGATATGGGTGCGACTGACCAATATAGCAAAGTCCATCGACTTGCCCTAGTTAGTTACAGGAGACTTCAACAACATTGGATCACTGGATGATAAAGAGGGGGTGTTGTTAGTAGTATAAGGAGGGTGGAGGAATTGCAACAATTGATTTCTGACTGCTGCCCCATTGAGATGTGCTTTAGTGGACCCAAATTTACATGGTCAAACAACAGGCCAGGTGTAGCCAGTGTACAAAAGTGGATTGACAGAGTATTGGTTAATTCAGACTAGAGTGCCCTCTTTCCCTCAACTGCGGTGTTACATGAAACTAGGATGGGGTCTGACCACTGTCCCATTGTGATTAATCTTGGCTTAAATGCTAAAAGGCCCCCCATTCCTTTAAATTTAAATGTATGTGACTGGAGGACCCTGAGTGTGAAGAGGTGATCAAAAGTAATTGGATTGTGAGAGATCCAACCTCTATGTTTCGTAACACCATCAGCAATCTTAAGTCGTGCAAAACCCATATGTTGGAGTGGAGTAGACAGAAGTTTGACAATAATAAGAGCTTAATTCGAAAGCTTAACAAGGAACTGCTCCGTGCTCAGATGCTGGTGCCTTCAGAGGAAAATCTTATTGAGGAAGTAGAGCTTTGTACCCAGATTGATGTAGTAAGATGCAGAGAAGAGAAGTACTGGCAACAACGTTCAAGGGTTAATTGGTTGAAAGATGGGGATCAAAATACCAGATTCTTCCACTTGTCTACCATCCAAAGAAGAATTTTCAATCAAATTGTTAGGCTCAAGACTGACAAAGCTGTACGGATTGAGGGGGAGGAGGAGATCAACTCCCATATCACTGATTATTTCCAGAACCTATTTCGATCACTAGGGAAAAGAGATTGATTTGAGGCACTAGGGGTGTACATGTTAAAGACACTAAGGCAATTAACAATGCTTTGTTAAAGCCTTTTCAGGATCAGGAAGTATATGATGCTGAAAAGGATTTGGGTGCCTTGAAAGCCCCTGGTTCAGATGGCTTCCCAGGTATCTTCTTCCAGAAATTCTGGTATATGGTGGGTAATGATATTATTAAAATGGTTAAAGATTTCTTTGAAGGAGGTAATCTTTCTCGATAAAGTCGGTTGATTAGGGTAAAGTTGTATCCCTTACATCTTCTCCAGTAATAAAATCGAGGAGCAAAAGGTCTCTTTATGCCACCGTTTGGGTATGCAAGCCCTCCCTTACTGTGCAAAATATCTGGGAATCCCTATGGCATGGGAAAGATCAAGAAATGAGGTGTTTGGTTATCTTCTTGAGAGGGTCGTGAAGCGCTTATAAGGATGGAGAAGTTGCTGTCTGTCACAGGCTGGGAAGGAAATTCTGATTAAAGCTGTTGTTCAGGCCATTCCTAACTATGCCATGTCTGTTGTGGAATTTCCCGTAAGCTTATGTGCTAAGCTCAATTCATACGTTAGGAACTTTTGCTTGAAAGGAAGTGTTGAGAGTAGAGGTATTTGCTGGAGGAAATGAGAGAAGATGACTGAATCTAAATCTGTTGGGGGGATGAGATTTAAAGATTTCAAGTTGTTTAACCAAGCCCTTTTGGCTAAACAGTGTTGGAGACTTTTGAACCAACCAGACTCATATTGGACAAAATTCATGAAGGCAATTTATTTCCCAAACGATGATTTGATGAAAGCAAAGTGTGGTGCAAGACCATCTTGGGTTTGGACTAGTTTGCTCTGTGGCAGGGAACTCCTCGATAAAGGGTTGTTGTGGCAAATTAGTGATGGGTCGGAGGTTTTTTTTTGGAATGATAAGTGGATTCTCCAGCTCCCTAATATGACTATTCAATCCCCAAGGCCCCAGGTTTGTTCTATCTCAAAGGTTGCTGATGCTATTTCTGTTCTCCCCAATATTTGGAACATTGCATGTATGGAAAGCTTATTATCAAGGAATGAGCTGAATGCCATCAGGTCAATTCCCTTGCCATTAATTGGGAGGAAAGATAGAAGAATTTGGTGGCCTACAAGCAATGGCAGTTACATAGCCAGGTCTGGGTATGTCCTGGGTCGCAAGGAGGTCTCTGTCTTGCCGGTAGCAAGCTCTTCATTTTCTCTTCATCCTAAATTATGGCAGTCTATTTGGAATATGAAGGTAGCTCCCAAAGTTAAACATTTTTGGTGGAAAAGCCTGCCACAATACTCTGGCCACTCAAGAGAATTTGTTCAAGAAAAACTGTGCTGCCACGCCTTCTTATCTGATTTGTAATACTGCTACAGAGTCCATTGAGCATATTTTGTTTGAACGTTCTTGGACTAGGTGTGTCTGGTTTGGAATGGATCTGGTTTTGATGGAGGAAAACTCATCCTTTTTGTCAGTTGTCCAACATTCCACGTCCTTGCTTCTCGTGGATATTGATACACAACGAAGTCTTGAACTCTTGGGGAAATTGGCCACAGTGGGATGGATTATTTGGAAGGCTAGAAATCAGTTTGTATTCAATAAGGAAGAGGTGAATGTTTTTGCTACTGTGTTATGTGCTAAGTCTATGTGGGCTGACCAGTTCATATTAGATAGAAAGGGTTTGTTTGCATATGTTCAGGAACAGGGAAGAAGTAAGGCCACCACTAGAGAGGAGGATCATGCTTCTCAAGTCTTCTGCGATGGTGCCTTCAAACCCGAGCTGGCTAAAGCTTCTTGTGGAGTTGTTTATTGCAAAAGGAATGGTGTTCTGGACTTTGGCAGTACCAAGACCTTCCCTGCTTCTTCTTCTTTGATTGCTGAGGCAGAGGCAGTAAGGCAGACATGTTTGCTAGCTGAAGCTTAGTTGATCTCTCAGGCCACGATTGTTAATGACTGCCTTAATATTATCAAGTTAAGCTCAAATGAGGACGTTCTCCCATGGGAAATTAGTGTAATTATGGAGGATATTAGATTTTTGGCTAGGTCATTTAACCTTAGCTTCTTACACAAGCCTAGGGCCCTTAACAAGGCTGCTCACTGGGTGGAGGCCAACATGCTAAACAATTGATTTCCATCAGATTGATTAGGGTCTCCCCCTCCCGAGCTTAAGGCTTATCTAGCGACTGACTGTAACCTAAAATTTTCTACTTAATGATATTGTTGTTTTGCTGGTTTTGAACAAAAAAAAGTTAATCTTTGACTCCATATTTTGTCTTCTGTTTCTTCCGTTCATTGAAATCTTCTTCTATCCAAGATTTGGGATGGTTCAAGAACAGTTCAATCATTTTTGATCGGAATTGTTTCACTTGTGCTATTGTTAATTTCGGTTGTATTTCTTCGCCAAGTGATAATTTTCTCATCATATAGCAAACATATAGGCCACAATCAACCTTGCATTACTTGTATTTTTTCAATATCAGTGTGTGTATTTTTTGTTCATTCATAAAACATTATGTGAAATACGTACGAGTCAGCTTTTTGCTGTGGACATTTGTCGAACGAATGAATTGGCATAACTCTATCCTGAGTCTCGACAAACATTTTGTTTGATATTTGCATGTCAGATATCTTCTGCTCAACATAATCCTTTTGCATTTCAAAGTAAGCAGTAATCAATTGAAATGTAGTAATTATTGCAACTCATAAAATTTTATAAAATGTTGTATATGGTTGTTTTGATTACCAGTATGGTTGCATCTTTGAGCCAAACATCCCTTATCCCGCTTCTTAGTTTTAATGAATTGTAGTGTGACCAAATGCCAACATCAATATCCAATACTAGAAGTGTCCAATGGTTTGGCTATCTATCCTCGCTTTCACCAATTGAATTCATGGGAAATACAAGATATTGGTAATCTCTCTCAAGTAGGAGTTTATTGTCAATTTCAACTTCACGTGCATAATCTAGCCGTGGAGAAGTCACCAAGGTCTACAATTTTCGTGAAGTGGACGATTAAATATGTAACAAATGCATATTTCAAAATATTTGTAATATTTATATAATCATTCATTTCAATCCAACTTACCCAACAAAGACTGTTGAAGAAAAAACCAACGTCGCTTAAATGTTGATTGTTCGCGGGCTTCCTCAAATTCATGCAACATATCACCCCAACAGTCTATGTTCTATAAAAAAAAAAACATGGCTGCAATTAGAACCATTTTCATAAAATGAATGAAAAAATTTAACGACTATAGTACGTACATTGTTGTAAAGCGCATCTCCTCCCATAACTTTCAAAGCATCTTTAACATTTATATAGCTTCCGACGGACATTCCAGGCCATATTGTTGACCTGCATAGTTATAATGCAATGATACTTAAAAAACAACGAAAGAGTAACAACATACACAACATACTGAGAACCAGCCCCCAAAAGAAATACACATATAAAATGATTCAGTACACTTACATAGTTCCTTCTGCTTGCTCAATCTTTCTTAATTTTTTGTATATGGATGAATACTTTAATTGGCAAAATTTTCACAACCTTTTCATATCCCTTTCATACTTTTCTTTCTCTTGTATTTTCTGATGAATCACCAACGATGATAATGTCACTGGATGTTTCCATGTGTTCCTTACCCTTTTTTTTTGAAGTTGTACTCATAGTCTGCATCCCTTTTCCTTTTCCTCTCTTTTGCTTTCAACTTTTGAACCATTGACGTTTGAACTTGCTTCAATTGCATTGGGTCTCTTTTGGTTTCCTCAACTTCTCCTCCTCCTTTTTTTTACAACAAATTTTTCCTTTCCTTTATTTTCAGCACTGTATGGCAATACTTTATGTACATGAGTAGTCTGATATTGTTGGTTTAGGACATGAACAGACAACTCATTAATCTTTTTCACCATCTCTTCTTTTTCGGATTCAAGTCGTGCCACTGTTTGTTTCAATTGTACGTTCTCAGCCTCTGATGTGTCCTTTTCTTTCTTCTCTTGTTCAACCGAACTCTCAAGATCTAATATTTGTATGTCCCGATCAATCAATGTCAACATGAATTCTATGATTTGAGTTGCCATGAAATAATATAATGATTGGTTGTCTTGTTGCAATACAGAATGCTGTGACAACAAATAATAAAACACAGTGCAATCAAAGAGTGACAATAAAGGAAATATTCAACCTACAATTTTCAAACAAAGAATTACACAAAAAGAGTGACCACAAATAGTAAAAGATTCTTAATATAGTAAAGACACCAAATAATTGCAACATTTACTGATACCATAAACAAATAATTTTTTTTAAAAATTGTTGTACTACTTACCTGTTCTCTCTCTGTGATGACCATATTCTGTATGATTGTTCTAAGAATTTCATTATCCTTTGATAGCATCTCATTTTTTTCCATCCTTGCTTGATCTTTCTGCCTCATCTCAGAAACAAGTCTCATAGCTTCATCTCTTTCTTTCATGATTTTCTCTTTTTCATTTTCGTTACAAACAACCTGTTCAGATGATCATTTCTCTGTTGAGTCAGTGAGAATCACATCAACTAGAGCATCTAATGGCCCCATTTTCTGCTTCTCTTCTCCCGTATTATCCCGTGCATCATAATCAACATGTCCTTCTTCATCAAACTCATTACCCTTATGATCAACTAGGTACTTTTTTTTCCCTTCAACAATTTCATTCATCTCAATTCCATCAACTTGTTTTCCCTTTTCCTTTGTAATCCTTTGTGATATGAAAAACAACTTTTCTTCTTTTGTTCTCTTCAATTTTTTTTTCATCACCTGTAAACAAACAACGACATCAACAATAACAATAGATTTTTAAAACATTTGGTATTCTTATATTTTAATTGTGAACAAATACTGAAACTTATGTCTTTGGCCTTGATTTTTGCTAACTTTTTTTGTTTGATTGCCATGCTCAGGAGCATTAAGTTCCATTTGAGAAACTTTGGAATTATTTTTGAGCAATCTGGTCTGATAATTGATGTGTGCTCGCAGATCCAAAACTACAAAATTCAAATACAATATTAAAACAAATGTGTGATGTTTATAAACTAATAACTCATTAAATTGACCATACGACTTTTATTTAAAACACTAACCGGTATTACAAGGACACATCCAGTGACTATGTCAGGTGTCTCTCTTTTTTTTGTAAGGGATGAAATCAGTGCATTGAGTATTAATTGAGACCAGTTATATTTTCTAATCTCATCCAAATTCTCTATGTATGGAATATACCCCCAGCTTAGTGTTTGCTCCGTCGTGTTAAAAAAAACTATGACTAACAAGTAAAGACACAGTAACCTAGCAACATCCTTGAAATCATTTACTGTGCTGCCCTTTGATGCTTGGATAAGTCTACTCTTTATAATTGTCAACCTTCTATCATTTTTAAATTTTTGTTCAACAAATGAAGTCAACACCTTCCCATTTAATATTGAGTCAATTTTCTCAAAACCGTCTTGAATCCCAAATATCAAACTCACATCATTTTTCCAAATGTTTACTTCTTCAGTCTCTATACAAAATTTGGAATTTTTGGCATTGAAACATAAAATTATCTTAAGGATAATATTGTCGCTTTTTCTGCACTATTTTTTGTCAACATGTTTGTCTATAATGCTCTCAAATAGCAACCAAAATGGGGTCTTCTTCAACATTCTCTTGTGCTATTCGTTGAAGGTAATTTCATCCATTGCCCGTATAATAGCAATCATATTAGATCTATATTGTGGATCATATTTATTAACATTCTTAAGTTGTTCAGATTTTTGTTCTTCCACTGCTTCCCTATATTTAAACTCATATTTTTTTGCTGATGAGGACCGTGTCTTTGCTATGGCCCTGTATAGTGTCATGGTGTACTGTAACTATATTACAATAACTAAAACCAAAATCAACATCGAACATTTTAGTTCAATAATATGTATTCAAAATATGTGATTTTGTATGTCAAAGAGCTTCGGCTTCTCAAAAGATATCATCATATAGTAACACAATGCATAAAGTTTTGTAAAACTCATAATTCATGGAAAACGAATGTATTTAACTTTAAGGAAAAAAATTGAAGTCATCCTCACTAAATTTATGATTATGTATTTTAGGTTTTCTAGTGTTTAACCCAATGTAAAACCTAAAATCTAAAACACTCAAATATACGTAGAATATATTTGAATTATCAAAATAGATTCATCATAAACAAACACAATACCTACAGAGACTTATAATTCATATAGATTCACCATTATTATCAAAATAGATTCACCATATAGAAACACCATACCAACAGAGACATTACTAAAATCAATGTCAAATATTTTCAAATTCTCAATAGAGACTGTTGATTTTGAAACTGTAAACATGATTTCTCAGAATAGATACACCATACAGTAACTAAAATCACCATCACACAGTTTCAAAATCTCAAAAAGAGATACACTTTACAGTGACAACATCTTTACATTTTTTTGTGGAACTCTTATAATTCATGGAAAACAAAATGTAAGCAAACTTAATATCATTCTCACTAAATTTAGATCTATATATTTTATGTTTTCGGTATTTTTCAGACAAGAAAAAAAATATAAAATAGCTACTTTTCAAAAAAACTCAAATGTACGTCGAATATCTTCAAAATCTCAAAAGATATTCACCATAAGAGTTTCTGAAACTATTAAAATTCATGGAAAACAACTGCATTTAACATTAATAAGTAAATTTAACACTAATAAGCAAGAAAAAATTGTCAAATGGCCGATTATCCACCAACCAAATTAATGTCGAAAAGTATCGAATTTTTAATAGAGATTCACCAAAGAGTAACATCAAGCCCACAAACAAAAAGAAATTAACATTAAAAATAAAGAATTTTAAAACGACAGTATTTAACATCAAAAAGAAATTTTCAATGATATTTGTGTTTTTCAATCGAGTTGAAAACCACCGACGAATCATTCAATGACTGTTTTTCAATCGAATATCAAATTCGATCATTTTTAAAGACAATAATTTTCAAAAATCAAAAATATTTGATGAAGGAAACCGTCTTGAATCCCAAAAACATTAACACTACATACAAAATATGTGATTTTGTACGTCAAAGAGCTTCGAATTCTCAAAAGAGATTCATAATACAGTAACACAATGCATAGAGTTTTGTGAAACTCATATAATTCATGGAAAACGAATATATTTAACTTTAAGGAAAAAATTTAAAGTCATCCTCTCTAAATTTATGATTATGTATTTTAGGTTTTCGAGTGTTTAAACTAATGTAAAATCTAAAATCTAAAACACTCAAACCTACATTGAATATATTTGAATTATCAAAATAGATTCACCATACAAAAACACCATACCTACAAAGACTCTTATATTCGTGGCAACTAAAATCAATGTCGAATATTATCGAATTCTAAGAAGAGACTGTTGATTTTGAAACTGTAAACATGATTTCTCAAAAGAGATACACTATACATTAATTAAAATCTTCGTCGAACAGTTTTGAAATCTCAAAAAAGAGATACACATTACAGTAACAACATCTTTACATTTTTTAATGGAACTCTTATAATTCATGGAAAATAAATGTATTTAACATTAAGAAGCAAATTTAATATCATTTTCACTAAAATTAGATCTATGTATTTTATGTTTTTGGTATTTTTCAGACAAGAAAAAACATATAAAATAGCTACTTTTAAAAACAACTCAAATGTACGTCGAATATCTTCGAATTCTCAAAAGATATTCACCGTACCGTAACACAATGCCGAAGAGTTTCTGAAACTATTAAAATTCATGGAAAACAACTGCATTTAACATTAATAAGCAAATTTAACACTAACAAGCACGAAAAAATGTCAAATGACCAATTATCCACCAACCAAAATCAATGTAGAAAAGTATCAAATTTTTAATAAAGATTCACCAAAAAGTAACATCATGCCTACAAATAAAAAGAAATTAACATTAAAAATAAAGAAATTTAAAACGACTGTATTTAACATTAAAAAGAAATTTTCAATAAATTTTCACTAAAATTAGGGCTATGTATTCTATGTTTTTATATTTTTTAAGCAAGAAAATTTTTGATACATATGATTTTGTTACTGTTGAATATATTTGAATTATCAAAAATAGATTTACCATACGGAAATACCATGCCTACAGAAACTCTTATAATTTGTGGAAACTAAAATCAATGTCGAATAGTTTCGAATTCTCAAAAGAGATACACCATAAAGTAACATCATGTTTACGGTTTCGAAATCAACATTTTCATGGAATTCTCAAAAAAGATACACTATACCGTAACTAAAATCAACTTGAAACAGTTTCGAAATTTCAAAAAGAGATACACATTACAACAACAACATTTTCACATTTTTTTGAAACTCTTATAATTCACGGACAACAAATGTGTTTAACATTAACAAGCAAATTTAATATCATTCTCACAAAAATCAGAGCTATGTATTTTATGTTTTTATATTTTTCAGACAATAAAAAATTTAAAATAGCTACTTTTCAAAAAAACCCAAATGTACATCGATTATCTTCGAATTCTCAAAAGAGATTCATTGAACAGTATCACAATGCCTAAGTTTCTAAAATTGTTAAAATTCATGGAAAACAACTGAATTTAACAATAATAGGCAAATTTAACACCAATAAGCAATAAAAAATATCAACTGGCCAATTATTGACAAACCAAAATCAATATCGAAAAGTATAAAATTATTAATAGAGATTCACCAAAGAGTAACATCATCCCTACAAATAATGAAACTCTTATAATTCATGTAAAAGAAATGTATTTAATATTAAACAGAAATTTTAAAGAAATTTTCTCTAAAACTAGGAATGTGTATTTTATGTTTTTATATTTTTTAAAGCAAGAAAAAATTTGAAATATGTGATTTTGTTACTGTTTAAGATGACCCATTGAATCCAAACTGAGTATTCGCAAAAAATCCGGCAAAATAAATCAAAAATTATTTTTTCAACAAAATTAGGGCTTATCTCTTTCTACTTTGGGGGGGGGGGGTTTAAGCAAGAAAAAATTTGATATATGTGATTTTCTTACTATTTGAGTTGACCCATTGAATCCAAACTCAATATTCGCAAAAAAACTCTAGCAAAATAAAACAATACTTATTTTTTCAACCAAATTAGGGCTTATCTCTTTCTACTTTGGGGATTTTTCAAGTATTAAACAACAAAAAAAAAAGTAAATGGTACAAATTCATACCGTTAGAAAAGAGGAACTCAAATAATCCGATGAAGTACCGCAAATATTTCTAGTGAAAAATCACAAAGATTTTTGGCGAATAGATTCACAAAAACCAAAATCCGGCGACCATACAATAACAGCTTGAACTGGTGATGAAGAAGATATGCTTGAACTGGTGATGAATATTTATCAAACAAATGTTGAAGCTTTGATGGTAACG